TGTGGGTGGAGGGAGTGGGGAAGAGAAATCTGTCCATATGATGTTTTAACTACTGTGGATGGCCCCCAGCAGGCTACAAGATTCTACAGGCTTTAAATCAGGGGTCTCGAACTCCAATTACCTGGGGGCCACTAGCAAGGTGGTGCTTTTTATCAGGATCTATTGAACAGTTGCAACAAATACAGGTTTAATCATTCAATCTGTTTACAGTCAACAGTATTAGAAAACAGACTTTACATGTAGACCTTTCTTTACATCTATTTCATATTTATGCAGATCACTCCTGCATGCTCAGTGAATTGACTCCACCCTTATTACTACACAATAAAAAGTCATATCCTCTCGTACCTTCAGACCCTCAAACAAAAAGGAGGGAATCTCTCCTGTGACAATTTAGCTAGTGGCCTTTAAACCGTCCATCTGTTTGTCTGATAAGTGCTCAAACAGCATGACAGAGACTGACTCCCCTTTTAACCGCTCTCCTTTCCACTCGAGTGAAAGTAATTTAAATGGAGTTCAGCAAGATCAGAGTAGGACACATATTAGTTCACGCTGTGCTTTTTTGTTGAAGGTGATAGTAACAATTGCTGTGGTGGTTCTAGAGACTGATTAGCCATGCCTACCATGTTTAGCTAATATTTGGCTGTTCATCCTTTATTTATTTATTTATTATCTATTTTTGTTAAATAAATTAGTATCATACTCCGTATTAAAATTATATACACTACCATTCAAAGGTTTGGGGGCTGTATTTTATTTTATTTTATTTTGTTTTGTTTTAATTTATTTTATTTTATTTTATTTATTTTAAAGAAATTAATACTCTTATTCAGCAAGAACAAATTAATCAAAAGTGACAGTAAAGACATTTAAAATATTACAAAAGATTTCTATTTAAAATAAATGCTGTTCTATTGACCTTTCTAGTTGAAGAAACCTGAAAAAAATGTATCATGGTTTCCACAAAAATATTAAGCATCACAACTATTTTCAACATTGATAATGTTTCTTGAGCACAAAATCATCATATTAAAATGATTTCTGAAGGATCATATGACACTGAATAATGGCTGATGAAAATTCAGCTTTGCCATCAAAGGAATCAAATACATTTGAAAATATAATAAAATAGAATTGTTATTTTAAATTTAAATTGTAGTTTTGATAAAATAAATACAGCCTTGGTGAGCAGGATAATTCTAGAATACGAACAAGACTTCTTCTGAACCTGAATGTTTGTTTTATGAAATTATGCAATGAAATGCTATTTAAAAGTTCAAGCAGTTTGTTTATCACTTATATTTTTAAATGTTTTATTTTTTGTAGCCAAGTATACTGTTTGACGGAAAAAGATTGAGAGCTTTGCCTTCATTCAAGCACTTGCATATGAATACATTACTTTTATAAAGCCCTGACAAAAGTGGGTGTTGTTGTGGATCCTGAGTCATCCACAGTTTTCATTTTTTGCACCTAATGAAGCATGAAGTGAGTTTTGAATGGCTTTGGTCAGTCCATCCCAAAGTCTGAACCCTCTCTGACGATTCTTCCTGAACGATCAGCCTGGCTGACAACAATGAGTCACTTCATCTTGAAGAATGTAAGTTTTTCTCAGAGACCAGCCCCTTGTTCCAACACCGTTTTCACAAATAGCTATTCTTCCTTAAGCGCAGCATTGCAACTCTTCAACCCCACCCCCATGATTTTAGGGACAGAATTGCAGTTGACAGCTGAGTTTCTGGATGTCTTAAGTGCTGTGGGTTCATCTCCTGGGCATTTCGAGCGAAAGCTAGCAAGAGAACGCAGCCTAGGATCAGCTGTACTGAGCTTTTGTTTTTGAATCCCACGCATTTCGCAGTGAACTTGTCACCTCTGGGGTTAAAAATACAATCTGTCCATACAAAATATATAAAGAGCATGGGTTATGTTTTATCCCCAGAAGTTATAGCTACTGATAGCAATGTAGTTTCAGCTTTGAACTGACAGTGATCCCGCCATCTGTCCTGTTTCCACAGGGGCGATGCATCAACTTTACCCGGGTGAAAGCAGAGGAGCCAAGGTCACCGCCACGCAGCAACTGTCCACTTCCACCTCCACCGCCCCCTCCAGACCATCAGCCACTCATGCGACCTCCGCCCAAAAGACCACCATCCCAGGGACCCTCCATCAACCGCTCACCCCCAGGACCTCCTCCAGCCCGGGCACCCCCAGGCCCCCACGGACCCCCTCCTTCACGACCCCCACCCTGCCCTGGGAACAGGAGTTGAGAACAATGGAGGGCCTTCACAGCTACCCTAAAATCTCTGCCTTTAATTTAGATTTGTGATATTTGCCAAAGCCACTGGTTTCCCCCAGTTTCAGACTGATGAGTTTGTTCATTTGGAGTGAATGAAATGTGATTTGTTCTTATTATAAACACAGGCACTGAAAGAGGGACTGCAGTAATGCATGAAATTATTACACATGCAAATGAATGGTTTTTAAGGCACTTAAGAGCATTGAATGTTGATTTTGGATTTGTATAGCAAAATTTAGCATGATGTTAATGTGTCGGTAGGTTAGAGCTGAAGTAAGTATCTGGTATACATTATGCCCTTTTTTAATTTGTATTATAATTTTAATAGGTCACATCTTTAAAAGGAAACTCAGATGTGTTGTGACTGCAGAGCAGTACAAACCACTAATTTATTAAGCCTTGGGTTCCTGGTAGGCTCTTGAATATAAAATGACAGGGTGTCTACCACTGGTACAGGACACTCAGCATGATATTTTATGTAATATATTTTGTGTTTTGCTTTATGGATCATGGTAGTTAATAGTAGTCCTATACAGCAGGAAAATATTGATGTTATAGTATGTTAATGGGTTGGACTCTAGGTGTTCTTTTGCCGTGACAAAAATCCCATTGTCTTATTTTTGTTTTATATAATATTTTCTCTCTCTCTTTATTGATACGAGAATGAGAACAACATTATCCCCATTCTATGCAAATGTATAAAAGCAAGGAATAATAATAAAGTATTCAGTTCTAAAACTGTTTGAACTTGAGTTGAACAAGCTTTATAACCATGACAGTGAAATGTTCACAAACTTAGGGTTTCGTCTTCATTCAAGTCTATTTTCACTGCTTTAAACATTTCAACCAGTTCCTTTAATTATATATATATATATATATATCAACTTTTGCAAATCTTACGAATGCCGCTAAGAAAGCAAAATGGATGCTCATGCATAAACACATAAACAAAGAATATTTTTGTTTGATGACGCCATTCTACAAGAATTGGTCAAATTTCTTAAGATTGCATCATTTTCTTCTGAACCTTCTGCATAACTGCTGACTGTCTTTGTTGTATACCATTGTTCAATTTTTGCCATCAGACTATTACTGCCCTAGTGTAAAAGTAAAAAAAACGCTTGATATAAATGAATATATGATATGAATCTACACGAAAAATAATATCCCTACTAATGCTTAGCCAAATTCCATATAAATAATAACTAATCTAGGAGCTGCATGTTTGAGCTTTATCTCCACTCATGCCTCACAGTTAACCTCATTCCTCTCTGTAAGGATTTAATACTCAGCAGAAGCTTGATTCACATCATGTAACATGACATGATTCATATGGTCTGATGACTGCAGCTCCTTTGACTGGGTGCACCGAACACTCATGAGAAACATCAGTGTGTTTACTGGCTAAAAAACCTGGAGCCCTGTGGCAGCACTGGGGATGCTCCCATTACAGGCTCTGACAGCCACACATTATGACTAATATCCCTCTGCCTGCTGTGCAGTGACAGCTTGATTGCACTTGTACCAAAGGAGAGTCGTTCAGTGACTGCAGCTGTAAAGTACAGTATATTTCCAATATCAGATTCAAACTTAGAACGTAAGAATGAAAATGATTTCAATATGTATCTGAACGCTGTTGCAATAACGTACTCCGTAACGCTCCTGGAGTTAATTTCACATAATTGACGTCTGTGTTGTGAAGTGAAACAGTGCCCTCTATTGGCAAAAGCTACTGCTACAGTACATCAGACAGGATTCAGTGTTCGATTTAATGATCGATTGAGGTTCTGACATTTTCAAAGCGATTGCAAACAGGGTTTGTTGTGATGAAAATACGACGACCATCCGTAATTTCCTTCAATGAGACGTCAAGTTTCATTGCAGAAACTGAATTTGGCCGAACATTCAGCAAATCACCAAACAATTAAGTCAAAATTATCTATATGAACAGCAGACTGATGTACTTTTATGACTAAAAAATTAGTAAAAACAGGAGGTTAAAACATATATCCTGTGAGAATTTACTTTTTTCAGTCAATTTTTTTTGCAAAAGCCCTTCTAAAAGAAAACAGAACAAAGAAACTCATACAGAAATCTTGAGAGTAAGTAAATGACAATCATTTTTGAGTGAGCGATCCCTTTTTTAATAATAGGCCTTTGTCGTGCATTGTTAATGAGCGACAGCTCTCAAAATCAGCTAGAGCCAGCAGACACCACCATAAACTGAGTCTGTATCACTCGTTTCTCACAGGGCCCATAAGGGAAAATCAATTTGAGCTTATCAAGAGGACACGTCTGACCTCTAGCAGTCCTTGTTCACTCACACACACACAGCTGGGCTCTACATTAACACCACCAATATCCTCTGCTGAAAAACTGTAGCGCACAATATCCATCACTCTGTACCATTCATGAGATTTAAATGACTTTTTGATGGGCACATGGGAACTATGTTTTTATAACTTTAATACAGTAATTTAGAAATCATTCTAGGTATGCTTTAAGAAAGCACTACCGTTTAACTGTAGAAACATGAAATTAGTCAATGTTTTTGAGGGTTCAATACATGAATACTGGAAGGATAAAGTGAAAGGCAATATGGGATTTGTAGTTTTTAAGGGGCTTTCTGAAGAGTTTATTATCTGTCCAACATAGCAAGTCCATAAATACATTTGGCACAAAGCTATTGTCATACTGCTATGTTCTTAAATCCAACCACAGCACACATCAACTAGAACATCTTGAAATCATCTTTTGAAGAGATGCTTCCACAGGAAGTTCTCAAAGCATTTGTACAGGAAAACAAGTCCTCTCTAGCTTCAATCTTATCACACCATGGGAAATGAGGATAGACATAGGAAGACCATAATAAGAACACATTTTAGTCTTTCCTCTTCTTCAGTATTCTCGATCCAGAGCGTGCTCCTTTCTTGGCCCCTCTGACCATTCCTTTGAACTGGCCTTGGAGTTTGGCCTTTTTCCTGTTAAAGGTACAAGCAATGTTTGATCAGCTGCATCACTCATTTAAGTAGGACACATGTAAATACAGGCTTTGATCCTTACCTGCGGTTGAGCTGGGCTTTCTTCAATGGTACATACGCATATGGGTCACACTTGCCTGCTTTCTTAACATCACCTTTTCCCTTCTGCAACAAACAGAGATGTTTAGCAGACATTCATTTTATCTTAGTTACTAAAAATGTTCTGATGAAAATGGCTCTTCACTTCTAACCTTAGATTTATACTCCGTCCCAAACTCTGGTCTTCTATCCAGAGGCCTGTGTATTCCAATGCCACCAGCTGAGGAGTTCAAAGAATCGCAATGTACCATAATATTAGAATCATTTCTTGGGCATAGTACCATAGTAATAGCTTTATTTTAATAGTTTTTTAACACAAGTACCATGGTAATTCCACTACATTCTTTGGAGTATCTTGGAATGCAATGGTATTAATATAGTTGACATTGAGTTGAGTGATACAATCAAGTCTAAGAAACTGTCTGATTAGGGATTCAGTGAATCTGAAAGTCTGTGTGTGTAATTTTGCACATCTGTACACTATACTGTATACATCCATACTATATTATTGGTAAAGGAAAGTTAACATGCACAAGATGGAATTGAACGTCAAAAATTTTGTTGTCCTACCTTTGTATTTCATTGTAGGTTTGACATCCATATCATCATCTAGATCATCATGCATTTTCCTCTTTGGATTCTTCTTCTGTTCAACAGGGACAGAGAGAAACTAACATCACACACCGCAAAACCTTTCTGTATACTTCCCAATTCTGTCAAAGGAAGTGAAATACATAAACACCTACAGTTTTGATTCCAGCCTCTTCAAGTACATCATCCATCTCAGCATCTGAAGAGAGATATGGATATGATTGCACTGTGGTTTATTACAATTATAAATGTGAGTAATACATTTAAACAAAGATGATTATGTCCCACCTTTTGCTTTATAATCATCATCCTCCTCCTCTTCTTTGATGATCAGCCTTCCATCGGATGTCATCCTGAATCCATGCTCTGTTTTGATGGCCTTTTTTAGATTAGGGTTGGTGGCTAGATATACCGGGAAATAAAAATAAGCAATATATGCACAGATATATGAATGTACTTCATCAATTTGAGTTGATCATGATTGAATCTAAATGGACATATCTAAAGAGCTCTTACCCAAAACTCTCTGCGCTGCTTTTGGATCAAGGAAGTTGAGTGGTTCATCAGATACGCCTTCCTTTAACCAGGCCTGGCCTTTTTTCATTGGCTTCTTCTGACCCTTTTTAGGTTTCTCATCTTCATCCGAGTCAGAGTCAGTCTCGGCCAGAATGTCCTCAATACTGCAGAGACACAAATAAAAGTAAACATCTACTCTCTGAAGTACATCCTGCTCAGCACCGTCAACTAAGCTTTAAAATAAAAATAAAACTATTATTAAAGCAAACTGCTTTGGAAACATTGTACCTCTCTTCTTTCACTTTTGGCTTCTCATCCTCAGTGTCTGATCCGTCCTCTTCCGTCTTGATCACGAGTTTGCGTCTCTTATTCCTGGCCTCTGTTTTACGGATGTTCACTAGAATCTTGTGTTGATCAGCTGGCAACATGCTTTTGACCAGCTCAAATCTGAACACATTTTACATTACAATTATACAAAGACACAAAAGGGGAAAAATGCATTAAGAAATAAAGGACCAAGTGATCAGGTTTGATAAGCTGCTAAACATACCCAAATTTCCTAATCAACTTGGTGTAAATGTTCTTAAGTTTCACCCGAAAATGTCTTCGCATATCATTCATATTGCTGATGCCTTCCATCTGCAAGATGATAGGGGAAAAAATGTAACACGGTCACTTTAATAACAGACACCTCTCACACTTTTTAAATGTTGAAATACGAACTTGAAAACACTCTCTTCTTCACTTACAATAACAGCAATATGGCTGGCTAAAACCTTGACATCCATAGAAAAGAGCAAGACTTTTAGGAAACCCAGAGAGGCTTTGACGACGTCTCGTGTCCTGCTCGAAAGCAGAAGACACACATTTTGCAGCAGCAGCTCCAGTGAGGACACGGCAATGGAATCTGCACATAAAGACCAGACAACAATTTTGCTTAAAGATTATAAACATTTATTGATTCTTTACAACCCATGCATCACATTTTCTCAAGAAAAGGAGTTGTGCTTCCCCATAAAATTAAAAACAGAGCAAGGCTAGTAGTTTGATTGTTCACCAGGGGAACGAACCAGCAAAAATAGCTCAAAAGTAGTGTTTCAAACTTATTTTTAAAGTAAGAATGGACATGTCTGCAGCTATTTGTAACTTTAACGTGCAATGCTTCCGGTCACGTGCCCATTACGCTGCTTTATACACAATGATGACAATTTGTCATCATTTTAATTAATCAAACACTCTGGTTTGTAGTGCAAATAGTTATTCTTCTAGTTATTTACCTATAGCAGCAAATGAACTGGAAGTATTGCACATTCAAAGAAAATAGCTTACTTCCATCTTGCAAATTAAGGTGGATAGCAGAAGTCACTCTTACCTTTATAATGGAACACTAGTCTTGTTAAAGCCAGAACTGTGCAGGTGATCATCGTTACAGAGCTAGTTAGACCAATAAACACATGGCCTAAATACTCATTTATGGCATCTGAAAACATATGATTATAAAAGAAATTATTTCAGCTCATTGCTCAGCAAGATACATCTTAATAATGCAAATTAATTAATTAAAAAGGTTTTATTCTCACCTTTTAGGTTCCCACAAAACCTTACAAATGCATTTCCAATCTCAACTAGAAGAGAGTAGGCATTTTTGCGGGCACCAATAGACATTTCCTTAGTGCAAAGAATGACCTAAACACATTAAAAGCCCCAATATTAAAACTTTCATAAAGCATAACACTCTAATTTAACACTGTGCTCTATACAAGACAAACCTCAGGAAGCAGAGCTGTAATAAAGTCACTGTGTTCTTCATTCAGCTGCTTCACTATGTGAATCAGACACTTGAGCCTAGGCTGAAAAGTGTCAAAAAAGCACCACATATTAATCAGTTACACATTCTGTGTGTAAATATAATTACTTGGTGTTTTTCACAGTTCTCACCCGTTTGGAAGATGAGGCCGCTGTCGTCAGGCTGTCCATCAGCATTGTTTTCAGCTGCTCGAGATTCTGCAGAACAAAAGCCTTACAAGATGCACTCTCTCCTCCACAAATTTCCTCCAGCACACGGTAGGCTTTCTTCTGGATGCGAGAATCCTTGCTCTATATACATAGACAAATATTACAGGAAGTACACTCATAACACAAGAGTGAAAATATGTTTTAAAATAGTAAGAGGAAGATTCCAACCTCAACAAAAGGTTTAATCAAACTGAATGTCTGGGTCATGGACGCTTCATCTGCAAACGGAGCCATTGCCACAATCAAGTCGATAACTGCAAGCCTACAAAATAAGAGCCACTTATTTTCCAAAGCAAGATGTAAATTAAGGTGCCATTCCACTGAAACATAGCACTTTTTAGGCTGATAGTCCAACCACAAAAATAGTCTCAAATTATGCATTTTTCAGGTTTTCATCTAGGTCTCTACCCTTTTCTAAGCATCTCAAAGATCTGTTGAACATATCTAGAGCCTTGTAAATAAAGACAATAAAGGTGTGGAGCTGTATTACCGTGTGAACTCAGAGTTGTCTGCACTGTTGAGTCTCTCTGATGCTTTCTGCAGAAATGTGCACACCATCTGAACCAATTGGAACAAATATTCAGAACCAGCAATAAGGGCAATGGCACAATAAATACAGTATATGCAGACTGCAAGATATTTGCAGCTCATTTGTAACATCTAGGGGAAACGGCAATAAAGTTATTCTTGCTATGACGCAATTAATTTGTTAATATGGTCAATTTATTACCGCCTGTTCTGTAATGCTCAGGTAGACCCTGATTGTGTCCAGGACAGCCATTCTAGCAGACGCCATCTCTCCAGGTTTCGGCTGCTGACTGTAGACATTAAATAGGATTGGAAGGAAGTTCTTGGAAAATCGTTGCAATTCTGCCTTTTCCTCCTCTGCAGATGACCCAGAATAAAAAAAAATGCATTTAATATACAATCATAAATCTCAATGAGCAGTCATCAGAGAAAATATAGCCACAGAAATGGAGAAGAAAAAAAAAACAGCTGACCTGTTTCACAGCTCTTGTTGATAAGAGTCCGCAAGGCCTGGCAGATGCACAGACGGAGGTCAGGGCGGTCATTCAGGGCCATACCCAGAGACCGAGCAATGCCCTTAAACGCTGCCAACAGATCGGTGGGTTTAGTGCAGAACCCAGGTAACATGGTCCAAATCTGGAAAAACACATTACACCTTTAAAGCACTGGGAAAATAAGTCAAATAGATGATCCTTTCCACTAAATGACAATCCAAATGTTTCTATATATGTAATAAGGATCAGTGGGAGAAAACAGTATATACAGTATTCAAGAGAGCATGAAAAAAAAATTATATAATAAATTAATAAATTAAAATTTTTGTGGGAAGTATCCCTTTAAATGCAGCCACTGCATACATAGCAACAGTCAAAATGATCAGCCATTGTTTGTCAAAATATTTAGCGTACCTGCATCTGTAGAGTCTGATACACTTTAGCCATCAATTTCTGTCCTGACTGCTCCAGTTCATCAGCTGAAATATCAGAGATCGACATTTGCATACATCAACATGTAATTACGGACACCACATGACATTTCAACATGTAAACCAATGTGTGTGTGTGTGTGTGCGTGTGACCGATACATACCTGTCTGTTTAAGTTTGTTTGCCAGAGGCAAAAAGTATGAGGTGAAGTAAGCCAACTGAGTGTTTTTCACATTATCTCTTAAGACTGGGATCAGCCAGCTTTGCGGGAACTCCAGGTCATCACTGCAAAAAAACAAACATTTCACAGCATTAATAAACAAATTTTTAATTCAAAAGACTGAGATGCACCAGCAAAGTAACTCACTCTGTTCCAGTGATGAGGAGGGGCACAGCTTTCAGGACCACCTCTGGGCCCATGCTCTCCACCGCACTGCCCACAGCCAGATCCAGCTCTCCAGAGAAGGGGAACTGAGGGGTGGCCCGCAGGTCACTGAGAGACTGCAGACTCTGAGGATCACACACACACATCTGTGAGTAAACTATAAATTACTTAGAAACTCACAAACTACAGAATATACTGTATTTCAGTCAACCTTTATCATAATAGGATGAGCCTGTTTTCCTGCAGCTCGGTAGAAACAGCCCAAGATCTGCAGCACAAACGGCCAAGAGGCATGAAAACGATAGGACAATCCTTCCTCCACGATACTGAAAGAGACAGAAATTAGACTTTAGCAAGACCATGCTCTAGAAAAGGATGGCATTATGAAAGATGAAAGTCACAGGTAGCTCACTGAAACATCTTTATGATGCAAGCCCCATTTCCAGCTGATGTGTTTGGTAAAACGGATCCGATCTCAGCCATTTGCGGAGCCACACACTCATTTAAAAGAGTCTGGATGGAGAAGGGAAAAGTAGCTCTTTTAAACATACAAGAACAATAAGAAATCAAATTTCTAACAAATAACAATACATTGCTGATACACAAGTCGTGACAAACCTTCAGAGTCTGAGTCGCAGCAGAGACTACTTGTGTGTGTGGAGACAGAAGACACGACATGGTGACAGAGAAGAGGCGAGGAAGATGACCGATACTCAGGGAGCTCTGTAAACTAGAGGCCAAAAATTATGTAATGACCAAGATTCCTCACAAAGGCAGCAAACAAAAGACTCAGTGCTGAAAAAGGTCTACCTGGAAAGATGAACATGGGCTTTTTCCATTACAGCAAGCCATGCTAGTAAAGGCTGCAGATCATTCTCACTTGGAACATAGTCATATAGAGCCTAGAAAAAAGGTGTTGAAAGACGTGTCAATCTACAAATTGGGATTTAGTTTTAATATATTTTTACATGAATGTGTATTAAATTATTTCCAAAAGTCTATTCTCTTCATTTCATAGCTTTTCTCTTGGTTACACTGCTTCCAGCTGTGTATGTTTATATTAGAGCTTTTATCCAATTATATTTCAGCAATCCTGTTGCCAGGGTCAAAGAAATCTGCCTTAAGGCCTTCAGAATCAACAGTGCAGGCGTCTGTTAGCTTAAATCAATGGCAATGATACCATTGCTTTAACCAATCAGATTTTGAGTTGGCAACACCAGGGCCATCTCCACAGAGGAACATTAAAACACATCTATACACTTTTCTTCATCGTCTTGTATGAATTATTTTAATGTTACTTGCTCACTTTCCTAGTAAAGCTGTGCTAAGCAGTATTTTCCTCCCGCAGTGCGCTGGCAGACCGGCGGGGAGACTCATGAAGACGAAATAAAGCAGTAAGAGAACATTCAATTGTTAGGTCAACTTTAAAACACATGTAATCACCTTATTTGTTTTATACCTATTGCTATCTGTAAGGTATAAATGCATTTGGGTGAATAAATGTCTGTAAGAACATCGGATGGACTGTATTTGTGTCATTTTGTTAGGTTAATGCTTCAGCTACAGATGATGTTGCGCAATTGTTAATTGGGTTTCTTTCTTTAGTAATGGCATTCATTCTCGCTACACAAGTCTGTTATGTAGTGCCCTGTTATACTGCATTACTGTGTAATATTTATGGTTTCTATAGCCATGGCATCATTATGATGGTATGAAGAGATGGATTAATTCATGTAGGACGCCACTGAAGGCCTAGGAGTAAAATGCACGGCCCGCCACTGGTGTTTAGTGATTATCATACTCACTGTGATGATCTGTGCATTCAGTTCTGCAGACATGCTGGCAGGACTAGGCTTGCTGCTGAAGAGCTTGTGGAAAGCCTGCATTGCATTTGCTGTTACCAGCTTCAGAGAAACAGAGGCAGGTGTTAAGAATTGACAAGTCAATGAAAACAGATTGATCGATTTTAAATGAAAATGAAAATGTATGTCTTAAACTGCTCTCTTACCACATGGCTCAGGGTCATCACACGGAGAAGGGTCTCACAGCAAGATTTTACAGAGCTCAGAGGAAAAACAGACAGCAGGTCTTTTAGAAGACCAAGCATGTGCAGAGTGGTAGTGTCTTCTTTGCTGCCTTGAGACGGATAGAAAGATAATCACTCAATCAGTAAGCAAAAAATTATTTCATTCTGTAAAATATAAGGGAAAAAAAACAGATTTGACTCCACTAAGTGTAATGGACACTAGGTGGTGCTATTGGACATTTTTTGCTGCACAACTGCCTACACAATAACTAAATGCAGTTTGATTTTCAACATTAAATTGTATGTTTTATCCAAAACTAAAATGCTTTTGAAAAATAAAATTATTAATTTACACACTTAGAGGATTAGTTCCACCAAAAATGAACTAGCAGTGAGGTATCAACGTAGAATGGCTGTGTGAAAAGATCAAGGAACTACTCATCTGTCCTTTACTTGCATTCTTCACAGAAATACATTGTTGCCGATTTTCCTCATTTTATTTATTTTTTTTAATTCTTTAGTGGTAGCCTCAGATGCTGGATAATTTCACCTGTTATCAAAAGCAGGTGTTATTGCTGAGTTTACTGACCTCCTGACTGCTCCAATTCTTTGCAGCAGAATTTGGCTGTGGTGGCTGCTGCTGGGTGATGGACCGGGGCATTATCAGAGAACATGAAGTCGCTGTAATGAAGGACTGCGCAAATACCCTGCTGCGCAGCTTTTCGCACCTGCAACACACGGACAATCATTATTCAGAAACCTCAAATAATCATAGTCAGTCACTCTGCAATGCGAGTACAAAAATAGTGTTTCCATAATATAACAACTAGTGGTGGATAGAATGATTAAAATCTTAAATGGCACAAAAGGAATATCAACGGTAACATTCCAACTCTGAGCGAATGGGAATCAAACAGACAGACCTTTGGTTTAGAGTGCACTGTGAAGCTCAAAAGCCCATGGTAAATCTGTAAAGTTGAAGGGTAACTCCAGACGGACAGATCCTGTTTACGCAGCAAAGTCGCTAGACAGCATACGATCTGCAAATTAATATGGCAGTGAATAGCATAGCAGCAATTAGAATATAAAAGTGCAAAATAATGACACAAAGCACACTTCCTCCTCAAATCACAATCTCATTAGGTACATTTCCCCTCTGGTGGTCTTCAGCCATTTTAGATTTAAAAAAACAAAAATCAATCAGGGGCTTTAGAAAAGACTAAATGGTCTTTATAAAGTCACAATTTAAAGTCACAAATTAATAAGAATAGGAAAAATACATTGCAGTACTTTGAGGCACAATTTACAATTCAGCCAAGACATAGTCTTTGAAAATATCTAATCTACCTTCCATGCATTACATTTTAAATACCTTTGATTTATTATCAACTTGAATATTGTATTAATTGAAAATTGAATCCTTTCCTAAAATATTAGAGGTGAAAATTGTCTAGCACCATGAAATCCTCTCAAAATACAAAAACAATATGACTGAAACTAAATACAGCCCATTCATTTCATTAAAGGGGTCATATGATGCTTTTTTAAAGATCATTATTATGTGTATTTGGTGTAACAGAATATGTTGACATGCTTTAATGTTCAAAAAACACATTATTTTTCAAATACTGTACATTATTGTAGGTCCTCTATGCCCCGCCTCTCTCAAACGCTTCGTTTTCTACAAAGTCCCTCCTTCCGACAAGCGCCATCTGCTCTGATTGGCCAGCTGACCCAGTGCATTGTGATTGGCCGAATTGTGATTGTCTCTCTCTCTCTCTCTCTCACACACACACACATGCACACGCGCGCGCACACACACACACACGACGCGCAAAACTCCGCATTTGAACAGTCAATAGCAAATACTTAAACTAATAACAAAACAGTAGCTGATTCAGAAGCGCCAGATTGTCATAGCAAAGTCAGAATGACCTCCTCTCCTAGGTTCACGAAACGGTCGTCCATAAAATGCATTGCTGTTCTGTTGTAAGTAATCTTAAAGATTCCTAAATGCATCTACTTTCTGGAAGACCAAATAAAGTGCTTTTGCTTTCGCCTAGAAACACACAGCGTCTCCCTGACATGCTGCTTCAACACTAACTGCGGTTACTGAAACCACGCCTTCTTTCTTTGCGTGAACATTTGGGCGGCATTACGCAAATATTTCCACAAGAAAAACTCATCTACATCTTGAATGGCCCGAGGGCAAGTAAATTCAGCAATTTCATTTTTGGGTGAACTTTTCCTTTAACAATATTCTAGTAATAATAGCTTATGGTGTAGCTCTCTGGCCATCAAACTGAATACGTACCTCTTTATGTGCTGCAGAGTTTGACTCCCAGTAGCGCTGTACTTTTCTAAAAGTGAGGTTGGAGCAGTCCGACAGTCCACTAAGAAAAGTCCCAGAGGTTTTCTCTGTCAGGGCTTTATCTTCCATGGCATCTCCTGCTTCCATGGCATCGCTGCTTCTCTGCAGAGATCCTGCCTGAAGCTCATTGTGGAGTTTCAAGGCATCTACTGTCAGATCACTTTTTTCTGTTTAAACATAGACAGAGGTCTGGTGAATCTCAAGTTCACATCAACCAGACCATCTAAACACATTGTTATGACATACTAGTCACGAATACAGTCAAAACATCGGCAGTCCAACTAACCGTCTGAAATTAAAAAGATACTATGATTTAAACTACTTTTCAATAAACCCGAAATTAAATTAGTCGCCGCTCTCCAAATTAGGGTTGGGTATTGTTTGTTTTGTTTTTTTTGATACCGGTGCCAAATCGATACTTTTAAAACAGTTTCGGTGCCTAAACAGTGCCTGAACGGATACTTATTAAAGAATAGAGAATGCTAGTGTTAGAGGCTCTTTTTTCTTTATAAATAAAACAAGTAGTTAGAATAGAAATAGAATAGAGAGTGCAAATGTTAGAGGATCAAGTTTTTTAATAAAAAAAAAACAAGCAGATAAAATTAGAAGTAGCATTAGAATAGAGAGTGCTAGAGTTAGAGGGTCAAATGAAGATGAAAGAGATGTGTTTTCAGCCGTTTCTTGAAAATATTAAGGACTCAGCTGCTTGGATTGAGCTGGGCAGGTCATTCCACCAGGAGGGAACAGTTAATGTAGAAGTCCATGAAAGTTTTATCATAGGTAGAATGCTAAATGTTTCAATACAAGCATTTCAGTCAAATGTAATTTATGCAATATTTCAAACCTTTAACCCACTTGGGAAAATCAACCCATGGCAACAGTTTAAAAGTAGCCCAATTCTGTGTAAAAAACAGACTTGGCAACTCTGCATCCAACAAGAGCTACCGGAGTCGGCTTTGACTGATCACAGGTCGAGAATAAGGAGAGATGACTGACAAGACCATGCTGGAGTATTTGCTGCTCCACACATCCTGAGCTCATTAACACACATCTGATCTCGTAAGATGTGCTCCCTTTACACAGAGTGCTGTGTGATCGCGAAATCGAAAGTGAAAGTAAACCGTGCAAACGCTCATTCAAAAATATTTAAATACTCCGCATCCTGAGAGCGGCTCCCTGATGCGCCAAACTTATATACAATATTAGAATGTTTAAAGGAGTGGACACGAAAATCGCGGGAGCGAAACATGTTGCGGGAGCAGGCGGCAATGGTCAGAGATTCAGTGGGAGCAAGATTAAGAAAACAGCCGAATCCCGGACATTTTGGGCAATTAAGAAATCCCTGCCCCGGACGCATTTTCGTAGGTCCAAAAGAGGACATGTCCGGGGAAAAGAGGACGTATGGTCACCCTAATTTATAATCTATTGCTAATCGATGTATTCTTTTTAAAGTAGCATATGGAACGGGAGGTTTAGCATTAGGCATTTTAATTTAAGCATGTTTAGCTTAGTTAACGGAAGGCTACGTGCTGCCATCAGAGCAAGTGTAACTTAATTACTGCATTCACGCGCTCCTCGGATGCTCTCATTTCCCGAGTTGTGCTCTTAAGTCGGAATGTGAAAACAACATGGACACTCGTTACCACAAAGATGTGTTGGATTTGTATTATTAGAGCTTTTCGACTTGAGTTCACGTGCATTTTCTCAGTCGGGAAATTATTTTCCATGTGCGGTGCCAGTGATGCTTCTTACGTCCGTATCGGAGAACCGGAGGAAATATTTCAATCGATCGTTCAAGCATGGCACCGATATCTGCGTTCTGATTCGGTTCTAGTACATACCGGTTACATAGGTACCGGTGCCACATTGGTACCGGGTTTCGGTACCCAACCCTACTCCAAATGAACCAAGCATGATTTTTTTTTAGCTTATTTACGAAGTTCGACCAGCTAACGTTACCCACGTGTTGTCAGACAGGCCAAAGTCTTACCAGAGGGACGGCTGAAATATCGACTTCTCGCGGCCTTTCGATAGCGACTTGTCTCCGGATTGGAGTCACTACTGTGCCCCTTCTTCCATCGCCTGATTTTCTGGGCTGTTCCGGATCGAAGTTTTCCGGACTTCACCATTTTAGCAGGTGAAAATCTTTACAGTGCTGCCGTCACGCTTGCTCTCCAGTCTGCTCTGCGTGTCGCGCTTAGGCTTGCGTCATCAGAGGGCGTCTTCTTTGGTGGGGGTCGCATATCGCCATCTACTGAGCATTACAAAAATAAACTCACGAGTTGCTTTTATGTTCCTGTCACACTGTTCCTAATTGAACTTTGAACCGTTTTAATTATTATTCCTGCTCCTCGACCACTATGTAAGAGATTAATTTAAAATGAACGGTAACCTGAAATTTCTAATTCTTTCACATTTAAGAGATAGCATTTAAGTTCTACCGTCTCAACTTCCAAAAATTCACCACATACAATTAAAGACCATTTTGTCTACTTTTTCATTTCCCTTAATTCCAACATGGGCTGGCACTCATATCAAATATACTATACTAGTTTCAATTTGCTTCATCTTGTATATTATTAAAATATCAAAAGATCAAAGGTTTCCACTTACTCACACATGACAGGACATATGATAAGCTGACATTAGGAAAATAAACCAGAGTTTGTCAGTCAGACATATATCTTTGTATGCTGTTTATTAAAATATGGTGTTAAAAATAAACCTTTCTCTGGTATTTACACTGACACACATTCTGACATTTCATCACATCATATTAAATTAATCCTCTCTGTGGTGATTGGCATTATGCCACAAATGATGTTAACAGAATTTCTCTTGTATTCACTAAAGACAATTCGTAAATGAAGCCAGTCAGCCTTTCAATCAAAAATTCAGTTAAAAAGACATTTGCCACAGTATAAAAATCTGTAAAATGTAATAAAAACTTGTGAAATGTTGACAGTGAGAAACTGTTAAATATTACAATATGCAGGAATTGTACATTTTAGACCTAGTTGCTTTGTTTCAACATTGATTACAAACCGTTTTCATTTAAAATTATTTTTTATTAGAAATGATTAACCTGTCTGTCCTGCAATAAATGATAAAATCATGTCTACAAACAAATGTATACAAACAACTTCAGCATATGAACACAGGTTGTAGTTTTTTTACACATAACACAGAAACGTAAAAGTCTATGATTAGTGCCCTAATAAGATTTTAAAAATCCATACGCTCTGTAAATTGAAAACAGTTCTGCTCAGTAATGGACAGCAGACTGAATCAAGGATCAAAGCAAATGATACCACATAGAATATGGAAATGAATATCCACACAACATATGTAGGGATATTAAAACCAAGAAGGCAAGGTATTTAATTTAATATTATACATTTAGTATGCTACAATTATGGATTGTTAAGCATACAGTAAATAAAAAGAAACTTAAGAACTGATTTTGCAAAATCTTGTGACTATACTCTTCAATTGCTGTGGAACTATATTAATGTTTTACACATGCTTATATGCATGTATATTTGACCTTTTCAGCTCCTCATAGGTTAAAAAAAGTAGACATTTCTGGAAGAAATATTTGTGCTTAATATTTAAAAAGCACAAGTGTTGAAACTCACACCTGATCAGTGACTTTATATAATGAAAACATAGGTTTGAGTTCATTGAGTCCCAGTTCAAAGATTTGTGTTTAGTTGGGAACAATGGGCTGACTAACAATGACCTGTATTACAAAGTCCTTCTGGATCTTGGTGTCTTGTAAACGTGTTTTATCCGTGAGTAGCTTTCCAGAGAAAAACCAGCGCTGGTGGGCAGTATCAATGTCTTCCTGAATCTGAAGCAGTTTTTTCAGCTGACGAATGGAATTGGCCATCGTGGCGCTGAGGTGAAGGTCTTTTCCGCTGGAGAGACGCACCTTCAGCTGGAACTCCTTCTCCTTCTTCTCCTGTAGCTCAGAGTTTTCAGACACATTATGATCGTTGCACTTGGACACCAGGTTGACTGGAGGAGCCAAGCAGTATGCAGGGAGCTGATAGCGGTTCCCCAGTTCATCATAGCACTCCATAAGGGACCCTGAAAGAGCAAAACAAAAGCTCCAATTCAGCTCAAATGCTGTTGTCATTAAACCAAATGTGTATATTTAGTATGTGTATATGTATGTATATGTATAAACGTTTGGGGTAAGTAAGATTTTTTAAAGTCGCTTATGGTAAATATTATTACGATTTAATTGAACTATTTTCTATTTTAATATATATGACCCTGGATCACAAAACATAAGGGTAAATTTTTCGAAATTGAGATTTATACATCATCTAAAAGCTGAATGAATAAGCTTTCCATTGATGTATGGTTTATTATGATAGGACATTTTTTGGCCGAGATACAACTATTTGAATATCTGGAATCTGAGGGTGAAAAAAAATCTAAATATTGAGAAAATCGCCTTTAAAGTTGTCCAGATGAAGTTCTTAGCAATGCATATTACTAATCAAAAATTAAGTTTTGATATATTTACAGTAGAAAATTTACTAAATATATTCATGGAACATGATCTTTACTTAATGTCCTAATGATTTTTGGCATAAAAGAAAAATCAATAATTTTGACCCATACAATGTATTTTTGGCTATTGCTACAAATATACCCCAGCGACTTAAGATTGGTTTTGTGGTCCAGGGTCACATATTTTAAAATGTAATTTATTTCTGTGATGACAAAGTTTAATTTTCATCAGCCATTACTCTAGTCCTCAGTGTCACATCCTTCAAAAATCATTTTATTTTGCCGATTTGATGCTCAAGTAACTTTTCTTATTATTATCAGTGTTAAAAATGGTTAATATTTTTGTGGAAACCGAAAAAAAATCATGAGTCTTTGATAAACAGCACTTATGGGGGAAAAATTGTAACATTATAAATGTTTTTATTGTCACTTTTGATCAATTTAAAGCAATTTCTTGAATAATTATTGCATTAATAATTCCATTAAAACCAATCGAATGATAATTATAAAAATTTTGTAAGAAAAAAAAGTTGCATTACAGTTACAAAATACAAAACGGAAATATTTTTACTAGATCTGTGTATTAAAATGCTGTTTAAATGTTTACCATGAGGCAGTGTGATGCTGGCTCCATCTACAATAGCCTGCGCCAGTTCATGGTCATTACACGCAATCGCTACAGCTGCAGCTTTCAGTGCATCCCAGATCTCTTTACGGCCATCAAAAGCTGGGGCCGTGTCCCAGAATTCATCTCTTTTACTGCACAGCTGGCCCTCTGTCATAGGATATTCACTTTTCCACTTGGGCTTATTTTTCTTCAGGGGCTCATTGCGTCCTACAGGAGAAAAATACATAAATGTAGAAATGTCACCTGAACAATCTCCTGATCATTTAGATATGCATTAAGTGGCCAGACCGTATCCGGGTGGCATCTGTAAAAATCCTGTTTCGCAAAAATGGTTCTGATTTCTTTTTAAAAACAAGGGCAGCAAATACGTCTTACATAGTACATGTGACATCACAGCTTTTGCCCAAATGAGATTCAGTGGACCTTTCCAAGAATCAGATTTTCCAGAAGCTTCTCTTTGACATGTAGCAAAGATTTCTAAGCTGTTTAAAACTACTTTTCCTTTACATGAACTATGAAGCTATACGGATCAAATGTAAAAATGCAATACAAATTAGCATCTAAACAACAACCTAAATCCCAACAGTCAAGCCAGCCCAGCTCAATGTCGACTAAAGAGGAAGAGCTCATGTACAGTAGGTCAAAGGGAAATCCCTTTGAAGGCTATTGGCTCAGACCATAAGTGGCTGAATCATCAAAATTCTAGGCAAGTTTCTTCAGATGTGGTTGACTTTGGAAATGAAGTATTGGATTTCAGTGCATTTAAATAATGATAATATAAGTGATATAAATAATGAGTTAAAAATCATATTTACATAATCAAACATTAAGCCCCACATAGCTACAAACCCTGCTTTAAAGGAATAGTTCACCCAAAAATGAAAATACTGTCATCTTTTACTCACCCTCTACTTGTTCCAAACCTGTATGAGTTTCTTTCTTCTGTTGAACACAAAAGAAGATACCTTTTTGGTAACAGTTGACAGTAGGCACTGACCTTCATAGTATTTTTTGCCATACTATGGAAGTCAATGGCAACCGTTAACTGTTTGGTTACCAACATTCTTTAAAATATATTTTTTGTGTTCAACAGAAGAAAGAAACTCACACAGGTTTGGAACAAGTGGAGGGTGAGTAAATGGTGACAGTTTTTTCATTTTTGGGTGAACTATCCCTTTAAGCACAGTGTCTTCCATAGGTCGCACAGACAACAGTCATGATTTCATTATAAAATATTGATAGAAACATCCAAAATATGCATGGTATTTTTGGAGGGCAGCCCTTTCATTTGGCCAGAAAGAGCAAAAGTCCTCCAGTGAGATCACAGTCTAAATCTGGGCTCTGCAGACTCCTGTGTTCCCAGGGCTCTGGTTCTGCATTCAGCATTGGCACACCGGGTGAGACTCACCCTGATGAGCATGTTGGTCATTGCCAACTAAGACATTGTAAGTCAAGTCTTTAATGTCTCAGACTGGCATCATGTCTTTTTTAAGAGGGTAAATGTCCCATGTCAGTCCGTCACCATATGGGGTATGTCCAGAGGGCAGGAGAACACGAGTCAGCCAATGACTGTGAAGACGATTATAATAATTTACATCAAAATCACAGCTTACAGACTGCAGAATTTGACTAAGAGCATGTACAATGTGTAATTTTACCTTCTCTTTTCTACACCAAAGAAAACCTTCCAGTTGTTAAGTTTACCATAACTAAAAGGATTACGATAGACCTTTAAAAAGAGAGAAATGGTCAAATCATAGATCAAAAATAATTATAAAATGTGTTATAGTATTGACATAATTACCAGAGATCAAACAATAGGAAGAAAATAAATTCCAATCAAACTTACCTTTCCACGTTTTCCCAAACGTTTGGCCTCTTTGTTGTTTATATGGCGTTCAATGCTGGTTTCTCCACGGGTGATAAGTACAGCATGCCACAGTGTGAGAGCTCCTAGGGCGACTGACACTGTGCTGATGGAAAAAACAGCAAACATAACAAAAGATGTGAGTCTATGGAAATAGTAAAACCAGTACTGGGGCCGGAGTGAAAGAATAGACTACCTTGTAAGGACCCACATGTAGATAACACTCTTGTGAAACATCCTGTCTTTGTAGGTGTATGGAGGTAGTGAAATTTCCTGTCCATTGCAAAAGCAAAAAATATTTTACATTATTCAAAATATAATGCATCATAATGAATATAATTTACATTAATAAAATATAGCAATATACTTGAAGATAATTTTATAAATATAAAGATTTAAAATATTATGTGAATACTGAGTTATATGAGTGCAACTACTGCATGTTATTTATGCATACATACTAATGTTCAAATATTTGGGTTTAGTAAGATCTTTTAATGCTTTTTTAAAAAAGTCTCCTATGCTCACCAAGGCTGCAATTATTCAATTAAAACACAGTAAAAACAGTAATATTGTGAAACGTTATTACTATTTACAACAAAGGATCTATTTGAATACATTTCAAACTAAAATGTATCCCTGTGATAGCAAAGCTGAATTTTCAGCAGCCATGACTCAAGTGTCAGATGATCCTTCAGAAATCATTCTAATGTGCTCAAGAAACATTTCCTGTTATCGTCAAACTAAGAACTACACATGCGCAGTGTTTCTGATTCATTGCTCCAAATGGAAATTGTAGATAGCACCAGATAGTACCAAGCAGAGCTTAAAAAGTCTAAAGTTCACCAGTAAATCCCCCTCATCTAATTGTAAGTAATACTCATTTAAATATGCGCTGTTAGCATTGGGATAGGTTAGGTCAGAAATAATTTGTTGGTTTTCATAGCATGCTGTTTGTTTAAGAGTGTAAAATAATGAACCGTGATACATAAAACAAAAATTACAGCTCTAGAGCCAAAGCAACAGCAGGAAAAACGACTTGAGCCACCTGTACTCCCTTCCCAGCCACGCCTTCTGGCGGGACAATGCCGATGAGCAACCCAATCCCTGTCACCGGGACACCCTGTTTCTCCACTTCCAAGTGTCTGAATTGCTATGGAATGGCAGAGAGACAGCTGGCAGTTAAACATGCCCACTACACCACTTTAAGAACAGAAAGAGAAAAGGAGAGACACAACCATTCAGAAAGAGAGGAGTTAAACGCTATCTACCTTATTCATTAGAATAAGTAAAGGAAAAAAAACAATGCCCACGGAGGTGTTTTCAAGCTTCAAAATGTTACGATACAAAGACAGAGTTATACTAAATGGAAAAGAGCAAAGACAAAACAACAAATGTATTAAAAAAACAAAGCCTTACATCTATGGCATTGTATGCATCGATAAACAGATTGCGACCGCTGATGCTGCAATACATGCAGCCCAAAGTCAAAAAGACACAAAAGGAGAAGAAGTAACGATGATTGTAATGGCCAACACAGTTGTTAAGCCAAGCTGAATATCAATAATTAAGGACTTAACTACACAGAAGTGGAAAAAGATGAATTGCATCTAGGCTGTTAAAAAAATAATTCACCAAATGTAATTTCAATTCTATCTAAATTCAATTTAAATGTAAATTTGATTGTTACTTACTCACATTTGAGTCATTCTAAACCTTTACTACTTTTGTTCCCCTGTGGAACGCAAAAGGGAAACTGGAGAGCAACAATGCCTGTCAAGCTTTCCAGCTGCCTTTTCAGTATTTTTCCAACAGGGATTTTTTTAATAAAGTCTTTGTTAAAAAGTTATAAGCCATGAACAAATCCAACTAGCTACAAGGCGATTCATAATATTACAAATTTTGATTTGACCCAAAAAAGTATTTGAAAATTGGACAAAAATACAATGGTACAAGTACTTAAAGAAATACTTCAGTTAAACATAAAAGAAGATATTTGACCTCCATAGTAGTTTTTCCCATTCTTTTTTATGTTCAACAGAAGAGAGAAAATTTTCACTTTTGGGTAAACTATACTTTTAATGGTTTTAATAAGGGAAATATCTACAATACCATGAAGAATTTTAAATGACAATCATAACAAAAAGCAATGGATAATTATAAAACTACTGATTTAAAGATGTTGAATATGTATATAGAAAGATTATATTAAATGTTTATTTCAGAATTAATATTTATATATATATACAAACATGTAAGCAGGGGGGGGGGCACTAAAGTGTTCTTTTGGGTCAATCTGTTTGTTTAGTTTCTAGAGTAGCTTTTCCACAAGGAATTTTGTTAGTAAACATGATTATTAAAAAATATATATATGTTCAAATAACGTGAGCTGATGGATTCAACAAAAGTAAACAACTTTGTAGCTCACAGTAGGTTTTGTAAATTATCATTTAAAAAAAACTGTTGAATTCTATTCTGAAAACTGTTCTTGTCAGTCTTTTCCATGCAGTTATAATAAATGAATGCAATACAACTTGTGTATAGTTTGCATCAACATGAATCTGAATAAATGATGACAGAATTGTCATTTTTGGATGAACTATTCCTTTAAACTGAATGTTTAACTAAAAAAACATAGCCAGTATATAAGAATTTTAGAGTAAAATAAGACCAAATGGGTGCACTCTTTACAAAATGTATTGTGATTTAAAAAGGATACGGCAATGATGATCCATTTTTAGAATACATCTGTAGAGAAAGATACAGGGATGTTGTTACATGTGAGTTTCTTACAATAATATTATTCAATGCAGCTGACACGGAGTCACCAGTCAGATTTTATAAGCCTGTTGGGACAGCGAAAACTGTGTGTCTCTTACGTTTTACAGATGCCACAGTGATGACTTCGTGCTGGTTTAGGAATGACACACTTTTTACAGAACGACACAAACGGGACCTCGTTTTTCATCTGAAACACAATGTGAAGAAAGAAAGAGGAACTGTCATGTCAAGAATGACATTGAACACAAACTTCTGGTGTGTGTGTGTGTGCACACTTCTTCAAGGGTGCCAAACCTTTGGAGGGTATCCAGGAGGAGTGTTTGTGGCTTTGTAGTAATGGAAGACAATCATGACCAAGATCCAATTCCCGTAACAAATGTGCCACATCATCCAGCCAAGAGAGTACGTTTGGAGGACCAGCGGTAGAAGGCAGTAGTATGCGATGAAAACCACAGAACTGGTAAGAGCTACTACTAAAAACACAAAAACCTTAAGAGAACAGAAAAAGCGCAGAGTGTAAGAAAAACAAACCAACATTGCAACAAAACAACATGATGGTAATTGTGAGATTTACCATTCCAAACCATCGTGTGACAACCTCCACCATCCAAAACACTGGTTCAAGGATGCAGTCCAGTACCACTTCAGAGTTAGTG